TCTATTCACTGTTTTATTTCTACTCCAATCATATTTCCTTCCTCTGCTCACAATGGCTTTGTTTGTTTTCTTTTTCCAGCTCTTTGAGGTATAAAGTTAGGTTGTTTGAGATCTTTCTTTTTTTTTAAAATTTTCTTTTTTTAGGCACACTTCTGCTGGCAGGAATCTTTCTTCATTTATAATGTAAGCATTGACTGAAATAAGATTCCCTGTCAGAACACTTTTGCTGCATCCCATAAATTTTGGTATGATGTATTTTCGTTTGTCTCAAGATGTCTTCTGATTTCTCTTTTGATGTCTTCCTTGACTCTTGGTTATTTAACTGTGTATTTAAGTTTCTTCTGCTTTCGAATTTTCTAGTTTTCCTTCTGATACTGATTTCTATTTTCATTTCACTGTGATCAGAGAAGATACTTAGTATAATTCAATCTTAAATTTCTTAAAACTTGTCCTGTGACCTATTAGGTGATCTGTCCTAGAGAACCTTCTCTGTGTAATTGAGAATAATGTGTATTCTGCTGTTGTTGGGTGGAATGTCCTGTTTTTGTGTGTTTGGTTCATTTGGTCTATACAGTTGGCCTTCTGTATCTGTAGGTTCCACATCTGTGGATTCAGCCAACTGTGGATAAAAATATTCAGAGAATAAAACCATTTACAAATAATATAAATTTAAAAACCAATAAAGTATAACACCTACTTTCATAACATTTATATGCATTATGCATTATAAGTAATCTAGAGATGATTTAAAGTATAGGGGAAGAGACACATAGGTTATATGTTACAGTTACATTATTTTATGTAAAGGACTTAAGCATCTGCAGATCTTGGTATTAATATTATTTGATAGGGGTTCCTGGAACCAGTCCCTCTCAGATACCGAAGGATGACTCTATTGTTACACTGTTTAAGTCCTTGCTTTCCTTCTTGATTTCTCTTTCATTATCTGTCCGTTATTGAAAGTGGGGTATTGATATCTCGTGCAACTATTGTGTTTGCTATCTCCCTTCAGTTCTGTTGATGTTTGCTTAGTATATTTGGGTCCTCTGATGTTGGGTACATATATATTAATAATTGCTATATGTTCCTAATGAATTAACTCTTATTACTATATAATGTCCTTTGTCTCTTATGTTTGATTTAACATCTTTTTTATCTAAGTATGGTCATTCATACTCTTTAGGTTGCCATTTGCATGGGATCTATTTTTCCATTCTTTCACTTTCAGCTTCTGTTCTTAAATGTGAGGTGAATCTTGTAGACAACATATAGTTGGATCTTTTTTTTTTTTTCAATCCATTCAGCCACTCTATGTATTTTGATTGGGGAGTTTAATCCATTTATGTTTAAAGTAGTTACTGACAGAGAAGGGCTTGCTTTCTGTCTTTCTTGTTGTGCTGTTGTCCTTCTTTTCCTTTCCTCCTGTTTTTCTCTATGTTTCATTGACTTTTTTTTTTTTTTTTTTTTTTTTTTTTTTTTTTTTTTCCCCTCACATTTTTTTATGTGAATCCTCACATATGATTGCCATGGGGCTTATATATAAAACACCTTATAGTTATAATAGTCTATCTTAAGCTTATAATAATCTAACTTCAATTGCAAATAAAAATTCTACTCTCTTACTCCCTCCTTGTTATTGATGTCACAGTTTTATCCTTTTATATTGTATACTCATTAACATTTTTATAGTTATAGTTTTTTTAATACTTTAATCTTTTAACTTCTATACCAGAATTAAGTGATTGTTTTAGTTTATTCATGATGTTTTAAGTTACTTTGTTTTCTTTTAGAAACAATGTATAGAATTTAAAATTGGTTATATACATTTTTGTGACAGAGTTGTCAATTTTATGTTTAAAAATTATTTTAAAACTCTTTTAATGATAAACTTCTATTTAAGTTGAATAAATCTAACTTTTTTTTTTGTTTAAACAGAATTCTGAAACTTAACGGTTGATCATATAGAAGAGTACCTTGAACCTATAGTTTCCTGAAGAATCAGTTTAAAAGATCCAAAGAGTACAAAAGGTAAAGAAAGTTGCGTTTTAGAATGCATCATTAAAATGATATTTTTTCCAGAAAAATGAAGGAATCTATCAATTGTTTTGACACACTAATTTAAGGAAAGTTTAATTTAAAAATTTGTGTGTGTGTGTTAATTTATCACCAAACATAGTACCAGTTATGTTCTGATAATTACTTTAGATACTGGGGATTCAGTGATGAACAAGACAGAAGCTGTCCCTGCTCTCATGAGGACTGCCTTCTAGAGGAAGAGAAATAATACACAAATGAGAAATTTGTGGTTTGTACTGTGCCGAGAATTAAAATGGAAGTGTAAGGCTGCGCACAGTGGCTCGTGCCTGTAATCCTAGCAGTTTGGGAGGCTGAGGTGGGAGGATTGCTTGAGCCTAGAAGTTTGATACTAGCCTGGGCAACATAGTGAGACCTCCCTCCAACACCACCAAAAATTTAGAAATTAGCTGGGCATGATGATGTATGCCTGTGATCTCAGCTATGTGGGAGGCTGAGGCAGGAGGATCACTTGAGCCTAGGAGGTTGAGGCTACGGTGAGCTGTGATTGTGCCACTGTGCTTCCACCTGGGTGGCAGAGTGAAACCCTGTCTTACACATACAGAAAAAGGATAATGTGTTAGAGACTGGTGACTGCTTTCATTAGGCAGTCAGAGATAGCCTCATTGAAAAGGGAGAATTTTAGTTGAGATCTGAATGGCAGAAGGAGCCAGCCGTGTGAAGATCTGAGAGAAGAGCTTTATAGGTAGTGAGAACAAGAATGACAAGGAAATATTTGTGGAACATAAAAAGCAGAATTGACTGGAATATAGTAAATGATGGGGCGAGTATATGGAGTTCAGGTTGGGAAAAAAAAACTGGGAGAGAAGCAAATTTATAGAAGAAAATCAAATGTTCTGTTTTAAGTAAATGGCATTTGGACACCTTTAAAATCTGTAAAAATGTCTAAAAAGCAGTTGGATATCTGACTGCATTTGACAATCTATTCTAGGAGTGTGGATTGGGGAGTCATTGGCATATAGAAGTGTGATTTATCTAGGAAGTGTACACAGATTGAGAAGAATTCAGCCCTGGCACATGCCAGTATTAATTAGAGGAGAAGGAGCAGCCAGCAGGATGAGTAGAAAAGCAGGAGGATGTTCTGTCACAGGAACCAAGAAAAGAAAGCATTTAATAAATGCAGAAGTGGGCGTCTATATCACATACTACTTAGAGGTCAAATAGAGAATAAAACAGCCGTTATATTTGGCAGTATGGAGATTTCAGATAACAAATAAGAGTGAGCAATTTGAGTGGAGTGATGGGGATGAAAGCCTAATTAAGAGTGATGAAGAAAGAATATGAGGATCTGCTAGTTAGAGATGGCAAATAATACAGTTGAATTTTATTTTCTCTTGAAACCTCACTGAAGCTACAGCAAAAGGATTTTTACGAAAGACATAACTTCACAAGGACAGAGAGAATGGAGAAGAAACAGTAGCAACAAAATTTGGGACTGAAAAGCAAAGGAGAGCATAGTAACTTTCTTGCAAATCCCAGGATCCTAAGCCCACTGTGGGAAAGCTGAGAAACAAACTTCTTGGCACTATAGAACCTCCACAATTTTCGTGAATTGAAAACACTCTTTATTTCTGGAAATAGGAGTTATGGTGGAACTAAAACAGGATGATTTGTTGCAAATCTATTTAAGGGTTGATTATATTTCATGGATCCTTTCTAAACTTTGAAACCAAGGCAGCCGCCTTTTTCCTATCTTAGCAGAAGTCTGGAGATTTGTTCCCTAGTAAGTACAAAATACAGGAGCAACAAACATGCTGAGAATGGGAGTAACATGTTAAAAATAGAAGGGTTAAGAACCCAGGCTTCCAGATTTTTATACTCTTCAGGCAGGAGTTGAGAAGATACATAATTCTTTTCTCTGAATTATAATCATCTTAAAAGAAGAGATCTAAAGATTCTGACGTTGAGAATTCCCCAAAGAAATATTTCCACTTGATAACCCTATAATAAAGAACAGCCAGCAAGCTGTATCACACAGAGCTTCCAGTTTTTTTTAGCACTTACCCTTAAATATGAGCTCATGTTTAGAGATCAGTAGACATTTGAGGAAAAACCTCTTCTCTGCAAGACAAAGGCCAAACCAAAAGATAAAACACCAATTTAGGGGAAATGAAGAGCAGTTAGGCAGGTGAAAATCAAACAAAAACCTTAGATGTGTTTGTAAGAGGGATGTTGTATCCATGAAACATGAATGAGAAATGATAAGAAATGAAATTAAATATGAGGCTGGGCTCAGTGGCTCACGCCTGTAATCCCAGCACTTTGGGAAGCCAACGTGGGTGGATCACCTGAGGTCAGGAGTTCAAGACCAGCCTGGGCAACATGGTGAAACCTCATCTCTACTAAAAATACAAAAATTAGCTGAGTACAATGGCATGTGCCTGTAATCCCAGCTACTGAGGAGGCTGAGGCAGGAGAATTGCTTTGAGCCAGGGAGGCAGAGGTTGCCGTGAGCTGAGATTGCACCACTGTACTCCAGTCTGAGTGAAAGAGCAAGACTTCATCTCAAAAAAAGAAAGAAAGAAATTCGAAATGAAAAACTCATTTGAAGGGTTGAAAAATAAAATGATCGATTGAAAGTAGAGCAAAGAGATGGAAAATGGTAGAGAAAAAAGAAGAAAATTACCTGTCCAGGATCTCAGTGTTCAATTAAGTGCTCCAGAAGGAGAGAGTGGAAATAGAGGGAAAAAACAAAGAATGGAGAACAACTCAACGAAACTCTCCAGAATTAAGAGGAGTTGAGTTTCCAGTTAGGAAAAGTCTGTTGAGCGACCAATACAGATACAAAAACAAGCCAAACAGAGCACATCACTGTTCAGTTTTAGAAAACAAGGGAGTTTCCAGAGTAAAATAAGTAACAGGTCACATCTAAAGGATGAGTAATCAGAATGGCTTTGCACTTCTTGTTATCACACTGGAAACTAGAATATAGTAGAACCTTCAGCATTCATAGGGAAAAGTGATTTTCAACCAGGTATTCAGTATCCAGCTAAACTGTTGATTAAGGATAGACTAATGACAGTTTTAGACTTACGACATCTTAAAAAATTTGCCTGTCATGTCCCCTTTCTTAGGCAGTTATTGGAGAAATTACTCAACAAAAATAAAGAAGTAAACTAAAAAAGATGAAGGCATAGGATACAAGTAACAGGGAATATGACCTAACTAGAGACCCAGGGAATCACCAGGATGATGAGGAATAATGATCACAAGAAGACAGCTGGTCATCAGGTTAGTAGATAGTTTCTAGTCCCAATAGGAACAGGTTGGAAGATTTCAAGAGAAATCACCGTGAGAAGGTGAAATTGGTAGAATGTGTAATGAGTTTGAAGAAATAGTAGATTTAGACAGGGAAGAATTTGTAGCTAAGTTGGTAATAAATATAAACAAAAGTAGGTAAACAAAAAAATGGTAACTCTAGGAAAAACTGCTTAAAAGGAAAAGTAATTATTGTATACTATATGGCCCAGCTATGAAATGGCATTTACAGAGTCATAATGATGTTAAATCCAAATATAACTGCCTAACCAAAGTTATGATATTGGGAAGTTGGGGAAGTGTGCATGTGTATGAATAAAATAGTAACATGACACATGCTGAGCTGGGAAGTCATATCACCAGATGACTCTGATCTCAAGTTGCTTAAGTAAAGGAGCATTTGATTCCTAGCTGTAGCTTTATCCTTTATAATTGGGGAACTTTATTTTTTTAATTTTTAATTTTAATTTTTGTGGGTGCCTAGTAAGTATATATATTTATGGGGTACATGAGATGTTTTGATATAGGCATGCAATATATAATAATCACATCATGTAAAATGGGATATCCATCTCTTCAAGCATTTATCCTTTGTGTTATAAACAATCCAGTTATAATTATTTTAAATACAACTGTGAAGTTTTGGATTCTAGTAACTGCAACTGACCCTTTTAAAGACATATTATTGCATATCATTGTGGTCTAATCATGTCAAAGTTAAAAAATAATGAAATGTATTCTATATTATATTTTATGTGTGACATTCCACTTCAGCTTGTGTAGGGATGTGGCATGCCATCTGTATCCTTAGACTTCACAGCATGGACGGTGTGACTCCAGCTAGTCTCTTTCTGGATTGAAAGCATGGGACCTGCAGTAGTCTCCAAACAAAATATTTTGGCTTGTCCACCTTACCACTTTGTCTTGTTAAAGTTAATTTGATACCATTTTAAAAAGTTTAAGGGAATCTTCTTCCATTTGCTCTAGGGTGCATGTCTGGCCTATTTTACTTATTCTTTTCCCTTTCCCTTAAGTAAAGCGTATCTGTCAACTGACTGGAAAGATGAGGATCTTGTGCTAGACTGTTAAGTGATGTATCTGACTGGGCACAGTGGCTCATGCCTGTAATCCTAGCACTTTGGGAGGCCGAGGCAGGTAGATCACTTGAGGTTTGGAGTTCGAGACCAGCCTGACCAATATCGTGAAACCTCATCTCTACTAAAAATACAAAAATTAGCTGGCCTGTCATCCCAGCTACTCAGGAGGCTGAGGAGGAAGAATCACTTGAACCTGGGAGTTGGAGGTTGCATTGTGCTGAGATCAAGTCACTGTACTCCAGTCTGGGCTACAGAGGGAGACACTGTCTCAAAAAAAGGAGAGAGAGAGAGGTCTTACGTTGTTCTATTAGCTGGACAACAAATAATTTTTAGAAAAATATTGTTAACAACAATAGCGAGACAGCCTAATAAAGCATCAGCCTGTATCTTCTAAACTATACTGGATTCACCCTTCTTGTAGTCAGCAAGGCTCTTCCTGTAGTATAATCCTTGTTTCTTGGTGTTCCCTAGCCCCTCCTCACCACCACCTTTTTTTGGTAGTTTGTCTTATTTTCTACCTTTTGATAATTAAGCCACACTGATGGCTTACTGGGTGCTTTATAAGGCTCAGATCTGGCCTTTTAAAACTTTTTCCTGTTAACAATTCTTTTTGAATTCACTGAAATTTGCTCTGTTAGTTTTATACTGTTCTTCTTGTTCTAGTGATAGAACCAGCCTTTGTTTTTACCATGAAGATAAGTATGTCTGTTGGACCAGAAGGCTATACTTAGGTGGCCTTTAAATTCTCTTCTACCTCTAAAATTCTGTAATTCTTTGCTCTATCTGGTGATACTACCCCAGACACTTAAAATCCTAACATTTCATCCTGGTGTTAGTCCTTTTTATTTTATTTTTTCTGTCTTTGACCCTGGCATTCATTTTCTTTTAAAAACTCTTAGCCCTTACCTAAAATGCAATAAAAAAAAAAAATGGGAAAAAAAAAAAAAAAAAAAAAAAAAAAAAAAACCTCTTAGCCCTGAGTATGTTAGCGAGCACCTGTGATCCCAGCTACTCAGGAGGCTAAAGTGGCAGGATTGCTTGAGCCCAGGATTTCAAGGCAGCAGTGAGCTATGATGACACCACTGCACTTCAGCATGGGCAATAGAGGGAGATCCCCATCTCAAAAACAAAAAGAAAAAAAAAATTCTGAGCCCCTCACAGTTCTACTTCTGCAGACTAACAACATAGGCAATGCAGTGGTGTTACGAAGGGTAATTCTCCCTTCTTATGAAGGTTCATTTGAAAACAGTGACTGAATGTTTTAGAATCTCATGTTCTTGTAACATCTTTAATCTTCACTGGTTTAGAAATGCTCCAGTGAACATTTCCTTTGAATTGTTATGTTGATGCTCAAAAGCTTTCAGATTTTGGAGCATTTTGGATTTCAGGTTTTCAGATTAGGGATACCCAACCTGTCGAATATAGAGAGACAAATTTTAGGCTTTTGATCCAGCTTTGAAGCAGTAAGTTTTACTGCCTTCAATTTGGGTATAAGTCTTCATAGTAAGACTTTCCTATACTTGACTTGAGTTTGCCATTTTACCACTTGTATTCTCATTTTATGCTCTAGTGATTAAAACTTTAAATTGTAACATGCCAGGTTTTCCATAAGGAAAATGCTAAACCTCTTAGTTTCTCAAGTTCAATATTCTTTTCTCTCACTAAGGCCTGTGCCTTTACAAATTGCCATTCCTGCGTCTTAGAATTTTTTCACTTATTACCTGCTTCTATCCTCCGGCCTGTTGCTTCTCAAACTTAAATGGTCATATGTTATCACATGGAGCCATTGTAAAAATGTAGATTCTGGTTCATTGATACTAGGGTAGGGCCCAAGATTTTGTCTTTGAAAACAAGCTCTCAGAGGATGCTGATGCTGTCCATCCCTGTACCATATTTGCAGTAAAAAAATCTTGACTCCCTAACAGACTTACCGCCATCAGGAATATTTCCTCTGTTTTCCCCCTCTAATTTCCACAGGTACGCATAATTGTTCCTTGCCCAGTGGTAGCATTACACAGTATATACCTTCATTATGCCTCTTATTATAGTTATTTAGGTATCTATCTTCCTGCTCAATTGTAAATTTTTTCTACAAGGACTGTGTCTTTCACTGTTGTGTACCCAAAGCCTGCTGTATTGTTTAGCAGAAAATAGGCTTTCAGCAAATACTTACTGCCGAATAGATGGTGTTATTACAGACTATTTGAAGTTTATAGTTAAATATATACTAAATATTGAGAGTGTCCATTTTATTTTTATTATTTGATAGTAAAGAGAAAGTTAATATGAGCCTGAATTACTTTTTTTCTTGTAGTTCTTTTTCAGGAGGGAAAAAAAGCCTCAAATGTACTTCAGCCATAGGTATTTGCTTGAAAATAGTGTTCTAGTCTTCAGTACAAATAAAACGTTTTGAAGTCTGTGTGATTACATATAGTATTTCTCAAGATAACTTTGTGGAAGTAAGATTTTTAGAAAACTAATGACCGTTTATTATTTTTTTTTCACCTAAGGAAAGTACAAATGTCTACCACAAGACGAAAACGTAGTATGTTATGTTGTTTACCATAAGCTGTGGTAAAATGAGCTCGATTGTTGACAGGTATGTTCTTGAAGACTGTTATTTTAAAGTATATATAGTTATTTAAAATGAACTATTAGAATAATGGTCTATATGAAATTGATAGAAGGAGTTTTATGCTTAAACATAATTATTATTACATTCGGTTTCTGTGTTAAATAAATACAGTGTAAAAATAAGCAAGGTCTTATCCGTATTTTCTAGAGCCAAAGTCAGCAGCATATGGCTTGTGTTTTAAACGAGTCCTGAGCTGTAATTTTGAGTGATTTGGTCATAGCTGCTCTGAAGGAAATTCTGACAGTTGCAAATGTTTCCTTGGAACCTTGTAGAGTCCTTTTTCTCCTTATCTAACTTTATCCCTTCAAACATCTTGCATTTGTGACTGATAAGAGGTAACTGTAATTAAGATTTCATTAGTTAAAATTGTAATGTTTACATCTTACTGTTGGGAAAAGGGTAAATCTCCATATTCCTATGATTTTAATACTTGAAATTTTTGGAGGATGGTGGAAGGGGTCAGCAAGGGTTAAAAACTTTTGGGCACTGTGCTTACTACTTGGGTGCCGAGATCATTGGTACACCAAACCTCCATTACACGCAATCTACCCGCGTGAAAAACCTGCACGTATACCCCCGAACCTAAAGTAAAAGTAGAAAAGACTTTTAAGTTGTCTTTATTTTTCACATTTTGGCATCTCTTAGCATAATTTAATTGGTAGCACTCTTTTTTTCTTTCTTAAGGGCACATAAAATAGTGGTGGTCTTAACAGTCAATAATATCTTAAATTTGATATAATCCAATAACATTTTTAAAGCATCTGCTCTGACAGCAGATATACAGAATACCTTTTTATATGCTATTTTATTTAACCTTAACAAATCTGTAAAATTTTACAGATGAAAAAACTGTAGGTCAGAAGTTTAAGTAACTTGTTTGAAGTCACATAGCTAGTAAGATGTGATCTAGAATTTTTACTTGTGTTGGTATGTCTGACATTAAAGTTGCTATACTTTTATTGCACTGTACTGTGTGCTCCATCCATTGGAGATTCTTTAAGAGTTTTGTAGCTAGACTTGTACACAGAAGTGATTTTTGACATCTGGGGTCAGCTTTCTCCCTTTCTATGAGCTAAATAGTAAAGATATGTACCCCACCAGAACTTAAGATCTGAGGAGCAAGAAACTTCCTTAGAGAGGGCTGCCTGTACCATGGTCATAGCTTTGAACTGTGCCATAGTTAACAGGCAGGATTAATGATAGTCCTTTTCTCAGAAAAGATGTTTCTTCACTGCCTCTGAGGGAGAAAATATGAATTTGGCATTATGCCTTTTGCATTCTAGATAGTATGACATCTAGGGATGACATCTGTGTTTTCAGACATAAAGCAGTGATTATTAATATGAGTTCCTTATCTGTGAATATCATGAAAGTTATGAACTCTGTCATCAGAAAAATACATATAAATACAAAATTTTTTGTAAACTTCGGGGCATACATGGAATCCCCAAAGTTCATACATGGACCTCCATGATACAGGTGTTAAAGATGATCCCAATAGTGACCCCATTTTATAGCTTATAGGCCATAGAAAGGTGTGGCTATAGAAGTGAATAATGAGTTCATATAAAACTTCATAAATCAGGAAAAACTTGAATATTGCTCTTAGGGTTGAGTTAGCCACCAGTGCTCCTGATTTCATTTTTTAGAAATGGTCTTTCCTTACATTTTCCCATAGCCAGCTCCTAGTTCACATGTCCCCTCCTTAATAAGCCCTTCCCTAACCACTCAGGCTCTAGTAACTAAAACATCACGTCTTTAAAAAAAAAAATTAAAACTTATCACCCATTTTTATACTGGTTTCTTTCTACTAGAAAATAAAGCTGGGCATGGCAGCTCATGCCTGTAATGCCAGCACTTTGGGAGGCAGAGGTGGGAATGTCACTTGAACCCAGGAGTTCGAGACCAGCCTGGTCAATATAACAAGACCCTTGTGTCTACGAAAAATAAAAAAAACTAGCTGGGTATGGTGGTGTGTACCTGTGGTCCCAGCTACTCAGGAGACTGAGGCAAGAGGACTGCTTGAGCCCAGGAGGTTCAGGCTGCAGTGAGCCATGTTCGTGCAACTGCACTCCAGCCTGGGCAACAGAGTGAAACCCTGTTTCCAGAAAAAAGTTAAAAAGAAAAGAAAGGCTGTAGGAAAGCAGCTAAATGTCTTGTTCATTGCTTATTAAACACATCCAGAACAGAGCCTGGCACATGAGTGCTAATACATATTTGTGAAATGAATTAGTAAATGAATGAAATGTATTAATATAAGTTAATGTATTAGATGTTGTGATGTTTGTAATTTGTGGTTTTATAAAGTATCTCAGAAAAAAATTATGCTGTTAACAAAATTAATTTTATATAATGGCAAACACTGACATCAAGTTTTTACTGATTACTAAAAGTTTGAAAAAAGATATTTAAACTGGTTAAATTCTTGTTTAGCATGATGTGTTCATAATATAGCTAAGTATAAATATTTTTACAGTTTATGTATGTAATAAACTTTTGAAAATATTAGCTATTACTGAATTTTGATTTTCTAATGGTTTATTAGAAAATAGGTTAGTTTGAATTTTATGATCCATTAACTTTTCAAAAATCCTAGGGTATAACTGTGTTGATTTACATGTCATTTTAGTATTGCTGTCGCTTAGTGAGTCTGCTCTTATTTTCTCTATCTGCTTTCTTTTAGAGATGACAGTAGTATTTTTGATGGGTTGGTGGAAGAAGATGACAAGGACAAAGCAAAAAGGTGCTTTGATTAGAGATGTAAAATAGTAAATAAATGAACAATAGATAAATGTAATGGTAAATAAATTATAAATTAATGATTTCCAAAAGCTATCTGCTTTAAGAGTTTAGATATATTAGCAAGGTGGAAGAATTTAGAATATTGGCGTGTAGTTTATAAATTAAATACCTTCTGACGTTTTGGAAAAGTATTATGCTTTGCTTAAACAGAAATTGAATTAGAAAATCTGATTTCCCAAAGCAGATAATTACAGATATCATAAAATGATTGTTTTATGAATAATCAAGTTTATTTGTCTCAATAGCTTTTTGTTTACTGGTTACTGCTTCACATAGAATAGCGGTCATTGTTCATTTAGTACATATATTTATAATAACCATATACGTTAACAATCATTGGTAAGTATTGGATTAAATAAAACCTGTGATTTGAATGCAGTTTTTCTTACTGACATTTTCATATAAACATGTATGTCAATTGTAAAATTTTGTTTAGTGACAATCTGAGCTGAAAAATTATTGCCCAAATTAACTGTATATTGTTGGTAACCTACTGTTACCATCTGTTGATAGAATTACATGCTGTGTTATGTCTAAATTAATATTGTATTAACTACTTGTGTTATTAAATGGATTATTTTTAAAAATGCATATTTTTTATTTCATCAGAGTATCTAGAAACAAATCTGAAAAGAAACGTAGAGATCAGTTTAATGTTCTCATTAAAGAACTGGGATCCATGCTTCCTGGTAATGCTAGAAAGATGGACAAATCTACTGTTCTGCAGAAAAGCATTGATTTTTTACGAAAACATAAAGGTAAATTTTTAGCTTTGTAAAATGGAACAGACTCTCAAAGCATGAGTTAGAATCTTGGCAGAGATGCTTAAGATTGGATGCTTCCTTGGCTTTATTAAGAGAGAGAAATCAATTGCATTTTAAAAGATTTCCTAATCTATTCATTCTTTCATTCAACAAACATTTATTCTGTGCCTACTACATGCTAAATCCTCATGATACAGGGTAACAGTCCTGGCTTTCAAGTAAGTCAAGCCAGGGCAGACAAACATGTAAGCACATAATTACAAATAATTGTAATGTGAATAGTACTTGTAAACTGTTTGCAGTAAAAACACAGGAAAGAATGTGTCAGGGAGGCTTTAAAAATAGTTGATTTTTCAACTGAGTTTTTCTGTTAGATTAAGAAAGGAAGGCAGCATGTCACACAAAGGGAGTATGTGCAAAAGCAGAGAAGCAGGAAGACTTCATTGTCACTGAAGCATATTTGTGTTGGAAAATTATGGGCATATTTGAAAGAAAGGAAAAAGCTAGATCATATACAGTTCTGATGTCATTTTGAAACGTTTCAATGTATATCTAGTAAATCAACACTATATTTTAAAATAAAGTATTTGTTAATTGAAGAAAATCATCCTGACAAATGAATCATGAAAAGAAAATTTAAAGAATATTAGTTATTTTGGTAATAGAGATAATAGGTTTGAAAACAAAACAAAAAACCTGTAAAAGGAAATTCCCTTTTTCAAATGTGAATGAAACTGTAAAACTCAGTGCAGTTAGTAATTAGTGTCACTGTTTTACTTCTGTGTAGCTCAGTTGGTAATGCCTTACCAGACTGGTTTATGCTCCCCCACTCATTGAAACTGTTATTAATTTCACTAATGACATTACCTTCCTACTCCCCAAGCAGCTTTTTCTTACATCTCATCTTCTTCTGCATCTCTATAGCACTGGAAATTTTTATCCCTCCTCCCTTGGCTTCCTTTATATTGATTGTACTTTCACTTTCCCTTTTCTCACTGAAACTAATTTCTTTCCTCTCTTTTTCTACCCTCTAAATGTGACATTCCTAAGTCTTATCCTTGTTCTCTTGCTTTCTGTACACTCTTTCTCTTGCTTATCTCATTCCATAGCTTCAGCTATTGTGTCTCTATGAAACTATCAGATTTCTATTTTTAGATGCAGACATTTTAGCCTTGTATTTCCAGATAACTTCTAGATCTTTCTTTTGCATGTCCTCCAACTCAGTGCATCTAAAATTGAATTTATTTTCATTTTGTCAACTTAACCTCTTTCTCTTCACTTGCCTTTTTTTATTTTTATACCACCATCCTTTTAATCACCTAAGACTCAAACCTGAAAAAATTTTAGTTTTTTTTTTTTTTTTTAGCTTCTTTAGCACCCTATCACAGTTGCCAAATTCTGTTGATTCTTCTGTAAACGTGTCAATATTTATTGCCACCACTATCAGAACATTTTACCTCTACAAATAGTATCTCACCAACCTCACTGCCTGTTGTTAAATGGCACACTCATGGAAATCAGTCCCAAGATACTAGGAGTTCAATAAATGATTGTTGAATGAAATGAAATGCATACATTTCCCCCTGACAATAGAGGATGAATTTTGGCATTAGGTAGATATTTTGTTGTTGTTTTTTCAGTCGGATACATAATTCTCACAAAAATAGTATTTCTGTTAAGGTGAAGGGATTTTATATACATATCATCCTAAAATAGGCCTGTGTTTAATGAAACTTTATTGGATTTGTTTGTGGATTTAAATCTTTTTCCCAGATGTTTATAATTGATGTGAATTTGAAAAGCCAACTGTATTCCACACATTTTGTAGCTATACTTCTTAGTTACTCTTCACATTCCACTACAGGCATTTCTAATATGCTAACTTGTTAGGGACAGTATGCTGTATTTCTGTATCTGATGATAGAATCAGAATTTAATTTATACTACTTATTACAAAGTAGAGTATATTTTGTAGAATGTAGTCTATTACATGAATTTTTATTCTGCCTGCTTGTTTTAATATGTCTTCATTTAAAAATAGAAAAACATTTCTTACTAGGTTTCATTATTTATGAATAGCTTTTTCATAACCAAATCTATTAGACGTATATAGTGAAATAAAATAGTAATAATTGTGTCAAATCTATGTCCCAAAGTAGGGATCTCCAAATTTTTGACCAGGTCTCTACTACTAAGTTGTACAAAGAGGACACTAAGAAAAATCACTGTGGGAATATTACTGTAGTAAAGATTTTGCGCAAAATGTTAATTCTCTTTGATTAAGATAAAGCACTTAATATTGGGAAGAAGCTTTATGCCCAGCAGTAGGCAGAACTAAGGTCTTCTTTGTTAAAAGCAAATTGAGTGACCTCTTTGGGCTTTTCATCTAATTTCCCTAGTGCTGCTCCAGACGTTACCATTTGACTGGCAAGGGAACGAAAAGGCGAAAAAAAAGAATTTCTTCAAAATTCTTGGAGCAAAAATCTCGTTTGGTCGTCATGTCAAATAGGAAGGAAACTTAGGCCTATCAGCAACATAACTGTTAGAGCACCAAGAGAAAAACTAAAGAGACTGGTATTACTAAGAGACCAAATCCAAGGACATAACTTGCCATGATATCTCATATATTTCATCATACCAAAACCTAGACCTATTGCTATCTACCCAGTAAATGTTAATGCCTGTGAATGTCATCTTTAGAGTGGGAAGAGAGAAGACAACTTGTAGGGCTTTTGTACTCCTCCGGTGGTTGGAGTATGCCACTAATGTGTCAATCTATTTACAGAAATCACTGCACAGTCAGATGCTAGTGAAATTCGACAGGACTGGAAACCTACATTCCTTAGTAATGAAGAGTTTACACAATTAATGTTAGAGGTATGTCCAGATTTAATTTTTGAAAGTTTTATTTTTCTCAAAAAAGAAATCACAGAGTGACTTAATATACAGGTTTACCTTCGTGATATTGAGAGTTGAGTTCCAGGCCACTGCAATAAAGCTAATATTTCAATAAAATGAGTCACATGAATTGTTTTGTTTCCCTGTAGTCTATTAGGGTGTGTAATAGCATTATACATTTAAAAAATTGATCATACCTAAATTTAAAAAGTTTATGGCAAAAAATGCTAACAATCATCTGAGCCTTCAGCAAGTCTTAGTCTTTTTGCTGGTAGAAGGTACTGCCTCAGTGTCAGTGGCTACTAACTGATCAGGGTGGTGGTTGCTGAAGGTTGGGGTGGCTGAGGCAGTTTCTTAAAATGAATCAACAATGAAGTTTGCCCCATCGATTGACTCTTCCTTTCAGGAAGATTTCTCTGTAACATGCTGTTTGATAGCATTTTACGCAGAATAGAACTTCTTTCAGAATTATAGTCAATACTCTGAAACACTGCTGCTGCTCAGTCAACTAAGTTTATGTAATATCCTATATCCTTTGCTGTCATGTCAACAATATTCACATCTTCATCAGGAGCAGAGTTGATCTCAAGAAACCACTTTCTTTACTCATCAGCAGAGCAACTCCTCATCAGTTCAGGTTTCTTAGGAGATTGCAGCAATTAGTCACATCTTCAGACTCCACTTCTGATTCTAATTCTCTTGCTATTTCCACCACATCTGGAGTTACTTCCTCCACTGATATCTTGAACCCCTCAAAGTTATCTACAGGGTTGGAATCAACTTTTACTTAACTCCTCTTAATGTTGATATTTTGATGTTCTCCCATGAATCACAAATGTTCTCACGCCATCTAGAAGGATGAATTCTTTCCAGAAGGTTTTCAGTTGACATTGCCCAGATCCATCACAGGAATCGCTATCTATGGGAGCTGTAGCCTTATGAAATGTATTTCTTAAGTAAGACTTGAAAGTCAAAATTATACCTTGACCCATGGGCTGCAGAATTGATGTTGTGTTAGCAGGCATGAAAACAACATTAACCTCCTTGTACATCTCATCTCCATCACCACTCTTGGGCAACCAAGTGCATTGTCAATGAGCAATAATATTTGAAAGGAATCTGTTTTTCTCACCAGTAGGTCTCAATAGTGGGCTTTAAATATTCATTAAACTATGCTGTCAGCAGATGTGCTGTCATCAGGTGTTCTGTCATCCAGGCTTTGTTGCTCTATTTATAGAACATAGGCTGGGTATATTTAACATACTTCTTAAGGGCTTTGAGACTTTCAGAATGGTAAATAAACATTGGCTTCAACTTAAAAGTCACCAGCTGCATTTGCCCCTGACAAGACAGTTAGCCTGTCTTTTGAAGCTTTGAAGCCAGCTTTGGCTTCTCTTCTCCAGCTTTGAAATTTCTAAATGGCGCCTTCTCCCAATAGAAGGCTGTTTCATATACAATTAAACTCTAGTATTTACTGTAGCCATCTTCATCAATGATCTTACCTAGATCTCCTGGATCACTTGCTGTAGCTTCTACATCAGCACTTGCTGCTTCACCTTGCACTTTTGTGTTGTAGGGATGGCTTCGTTCTTTACACCTCATGAACTAACTTCTGCTCACTTCTAACTTTTCTTCTGTAGTTTCCTTACCTCTCTCCACCTTCACAGAATTGAAGAAAGTTAAATCCTTGCTCTGGATTAGTCTTTGGCTTAAGGGAATCTTGTGGCTAGTTTTTGATCTTCTATGCAGACCACTCAGACTTTTCTCTGTATCAGGAACAAGACTGTTTCACTTTCTTATCATACATGTGTTCACTAAAACTTTTCTTTTTTATTTACAACTTTGCTACCTGTTTAGTACAAGAGGTCTAGCTTTTGACCTGTCTCAGTTTTCAACATGCCTTCCTTACTAAGCTTAATCACATCTGGCTTTTGATTTAAAGTCAGAGATGAGGGACTTTTCCTTTCACTTGAATACTTAGAGGCCATTGTAGAGTTACTAATTGGCCTAATTTCAATATTGTTGTGTGTCTCAGGGAATGGGGAGTTCCAAGAAGAGGGAGAGGGGTTGGGGAATGGCCATTCAGTTGGTGGAGCAGTCAGAGCACATGCATTTAAGTTCACCATCTTATGTGGGCAAATCACCATTATAGATACAATAATAATGAAAAAGTTTGAAATATTGCAAGGATTACTAAAATGTGATGCAAGAGACACAAAGTGAACATGTGCTATTGAAAAAAACGACGCTGATAGACTTGCTTGACACAGGGTTGCTACAAACCCTTCATTTTGTTAAAAAAAAAACAACAACACCCAGTAACTGTCTAGTTGAATAAAACAAAGCACAGTGGAATAAGATATGCCTGTATAATTATGTTATGGCTATGTAGCAAGTGTCTTTGTATACTTACTGGAGTCTTAAGCAAGGTAGAGTATTTTGCAAATTGAGTTATTTTTCTGTTTGTATTTTAGATGGGGCAATTGTATGATTAATTCTTTATATATTCAGCAGAAACGTTTCCATATGAAAATTTGTTGGAGTATAAATATAAACATTTAAGCCTATACTTTAAATCAGAAAAATAAGTGAGCAATTTTTATATAGTAACTCATTGAATCCTTGCAACACTCTTGTGAAGTAGACACTATATGTATGTGTCATAATAGCTAGTATTATGAAGTAGAAGTAGACAGTAGTATCTCTTTCTTGCTTTCAGATGGGGAAATTAAGGAATAGTTGCCTTTTTTTTTTTTTTTTTTTTTTGAGATGGAGTCTTGCTCAGTCACCCATGATATGCCCGCTGCAACCTCTGTCTCCCAGGTTCAAGTCATTCTCCCACTTTAGCATCCAGAGTAGCTGGGATTACATGTGGCACCATGCCCAGCTAATTTTTTTATTTTTAGTAGAGACGAGGTTTACCCTGTTGGTCAGGCTGGTCTCGAACTCAGCCTCAAGTGATCCACCCACCTTGGCCTCCCGAAGTGGAGATTACAAGTGTGAGCCACCGTGCCTGGCCAACAGTTGTTTACTTTTGACCCTATTATGAAATAATAATACTGGCATTATTGTACTGAAGAATTTTTAAAAAATAATTCATGAGTTTGCTCAAATGATAAGATTTCTCTGTTAGCAAAGACTAGTTTGTTTGAGTCATTCTAGAAGATAGGCATCTACTGCAAATAAGTTCTTTGTGATATCCAGATCTCTTTCCCAAAGGGAGGGGACATGGGAGAGGATACCTTTTTTCTATAATTTATCAATTATATAGAGTTAGGGAAGGTTACTCTAACTCCCTGCTCTATAAATTATATATTGCAAGTACTTTTTCTTGTGCTACACTAGTGCTGCAGATAAAAGGATTAATAAGATATACATGGTTCCTACCGGAAGTCATTATCCTTTTCGAGAGCTATTTAATTAACAAGAAATTAGGGTTTAGTATGTTAACCACTTTAAAAGAAGACTCTCTCTTATAGTACCTTTTCTGCTGTGTATCTTCTACTTCTCTACTGGATCCTTCTTTCCCTTAGCCTTCAAATTTAATTGCTCTTTTTTTTAAATGCCTTCTCTTGATATTTGGCCCCCTTAGAACCGTTTGCCTTTTTCTTCCCTTCTAAAGTTCATGAGTGAGTGATTTGTAATAGTCTTCTGATTATGCACTCATTTTTAAACTCATTGTAGTCTGATTTGCCTTCCTGTTAACCTAACTTTTTGAAAATCACCAAAATTCATTTCTCATTTTCTTGTCTTACTCTCATTTTATACCAAACCATTTCTCTCCTCTTCACTTTCTAATTATCTCTTCCATTGATTCCTTGATGACAGCGTATTCTGTGTTCTCTATTATTTTCCCTTTTTTTTAAATTTTTATTTTCATTACTATTATGAGACAGGATCTCACTCTGTTGCCCAGGCTGGAGTACAGTGACATGATCATAGCTCACCGCAGCCCCAGCCTCTTGGGCTCAAGTGATCTCACCCCAGCCTCCCAGGCAGCTGGGACCACAGGCATGTGCTACCACACTTCGCTAATTTTTGAATTTTTTTGCAGGGATAAGGTTTCACCATGTTGCTCAGGCTGGTCTCAAACTCCTGGGTTCAAGTGATCCTCCCACCTCTGCTTCCCAAAGTGCTATCGTCACAGGCATAAGCCACTGCGCCCAGCCTTCTCTGTCATTTTCTCTGGCCTTTTTTTCTGTTCCTCATCCCATATATTTATAGATAATTCTTTCAGGATTTGTCTTTTGCAGATCTGATTTCTTCAGCTGTCACCTCTGTGCCTAGGATTCTCAAATGAAAATATGTTGTAGTGTACAAAGTACAAAATTGCTTTATTATTAAGTTTTGTACTCCCTGCTCTGACTTCTCTTCTGAAATCGAACTTCACATTTCTCAATGCTTGCTCAGAGTACTTTCTTTATTCCTAATACAACTGATTTCATTCTGATTCCCATTAACTTCCTTAATTATTCCAAAAGCCACTATGATTTTCCTAATTATATTTTCTTTTCTCTCTAAATCCATTTTTCACCCTGCTTCCACACTGCTCTTAATGAAGCGCAGCCCGTGCCCTAAAATCTTCTGTTGGCTTACCATTGTTTACAGAATAAAATTCTTAATCTTAGCCTTGTATTCAAAACCTTTTATGATATGACCTCAGCCTAATTTTTCACCTTAAATTTCCTGCTACTCCCTTTTACTTTATTCTCTGTATATCTCCTTACATTTCAAACATACACCTCTGTGTTAACATAGCCATGATAATAACAATGTGTTATTTTTTGTGTGCCTAAAAAACATTGTTGATGTCTTGTGTGCTTTGGAGATGTCAGCTTCTTCAAATAAGACATAATACTATATATACATGGTTCGGTCATGTAATATACATAGTGATGAAGGTAGAGCATTGTCTCTGCCTTTTAGAGACTAGTTGTCTGATGGATGGCCAGAGAGAGACTTTTTTTTCTACAGAAGCATTTAAAAATGAACAAAGATACATACCAAGGTATTGTAAAGGGGGAAAGCTAGTATATATTTTCACAAAATATATATGGATATTTTTATATTTTATATTTTAAAGCTAGTATATATTTTATAGTGTATATATATAAAATATATGAGTAATGCATATATAGTACATATATATATTTTATAATATATATATAGTATATACTTTATATTTTAAAGCTAGTATATATTTGACAAAATATATATGGATATGGACAAAAAAATATGGATATTTTCATATGAAATCCCTTGTCATTTATCTCAGATTTTTACTTCTGTCCTGCGAAATACTTTTTTCTTTTCATTTAACATACCATTATGTTTAATTTCAGGCTCTTGATGGTTTTTTTTTAGCAATCATGACAGATGGAAGCATAATATATGTGTCCGAGAGTGTAACTTCATTACTTGAACATTTACCAGTAAGTATGAAGATCCTACAATCTACTTCTAATTAAAATGCGTATTTTAAATATTCTAAAGCACTAGGAGGTGGACTTTGAGAGCAATGTCGAATAGTGGTTAATGGAGTAAGGATAAGAGCTTTAAGTATGTCTTTGTTTTAGCTTGTGTTTTCTCAGCTCAGTCATAACTCTCTAATCTGTAGTAACTTAATATTCAACTACAGTTGTGCATCACTAAACAGTGGGAGTATGTTCTGAGGCACTTTTGTCACTGTGTGAACATCATAGAGTGTAGTTATACAAACCTAGATGTATAACCTACTACCCACCTAGGCTATATGGTCAATAGCCTGTTGCTCTTAGACCACAACTTGTACAGCATGCTACTGTGCTGAATACTATAGGCAATTGTCACAAGTATTTACATGTTTAAAAATACTAAACATAGAAAAGGTACAATAAAAATACAGTATCAAAGACAAAAAATGGTATACCTGTATAGGGCATTCACCATGAATGAAACTTGCAGGACTGGAAGTTGCTTTGGGTGAGTCAGTGAGTGAGTGATGAGTGAATGTGAAGGACTAAGACAGTACCATACACCTTTATAGACTTTATAAACACTGTACACTTAGGCTACTTTATATAAAAATTGTTTCTTCAATAATAAATTAACCTTAGCTTATTGTAATTTTTTTACTGTGTAAACTTAAAAACTTTTTAAAACTTTTTTACTCTTGTAGTAACACTTAGCTTCTTAACACTTTGGGATGCCAAGGCTGACAGATTGCTTGAGTTCAGGAGTTTGTGACCAGCCTGGGCAACATGGTGAAACCTTGTCTCAAAAAAAAAAAAACATAAAAATTAGCCAAGTGTCATGGCTTGCACCTGTGGTCCCAGTTACTCGGGAGGCTGAGGTAGGAGGATTGCATTGAGGCTAGGAGGCCAAGGCTAAAGTGAACCGTGATGGTGTCACTGCACTCCAGCCTGGGTTACAGAGCAAGACCCTGCCTCAAAAAAAAAAAAGATTGTACAGCTATATAAAAACATTTTCTTTCTTTATATCCTTATTTCAAAAGCTTTTTTCTATTTAGAAAAACTTTTTAAAAAACTTTTTACACATTTTTGTTTAAGACACAAACAGACCACACATCAGCCTAGGCCTACGCAAAGTCAGGATTGTCAACATCACTGTCTTCCACCTCCACATCTTGCCCCATTGGAGGGTCTTCAGGAGCAACAACAGATATGGAGCTGTCATCTTCTACATTTATAGTGCCCTTTTGAAATACCTCCTAAAGGACCTGCCTGAGGCAGGTTTAGAGTTAACTTTAAAAATACATGTAAGGAGAATACTCTAAATCATTAAAGGTATAGTAAATATATAAACTAGTAGCATGGTTGTTTACCATCATGTACATATGTACTGTATATGATTTTATGTGCTAAACTTTTATATGACTGGTGGCACAATAGGTTTGTTTACACAAGCATCACCACAAACACAAGTGTAAAAGATGAGTAATGCATTGATTATGACATTACAACAGAGACGACATCACTAGACAGTAGGAATGTTTCAGCTCCGCTATAATCTAGGGGACCACCTGTAGTCATATATGGAGTCCGTTATTGACTGAAACATTGTTATGCATTGCAAGGCCGTACCACTTTATCTGACCTCTCTTTTTCCTCTCTCCTTTATTCTAGTGCTAACTTTTTAGCATTTCCGTTTTGATCAGCGTGTTAAAAATGTTAATTTCAACTGAGAATGTCTTGAGAATAACTAAATTTCTGCTGAGATATTTGTTGCAATTAGGGCAATTTGTGAATACTTTTCCCAATAGAATTACTTATAAAAACACTCTAAAAATAGTAGATACAGAACTTTTTATGCTATTTGACTTTGAACTGCTAGTGTCATATTGGCCATATTTTAATTCCTTATCATTATGACCAAAAGGGTAGAGAATTAGAAAAGTATATTTCGTTTGATTAGGATTTGAGAACTGAGTGGATGTGTGGCCACATCGAATATGATCAGCCTCGTTTAGAGATTTTAAGTATAGTGGTTAATGGAAAGTTTGACACCTATTAATTATAAAGTGGCAGGAGAGGCAGAAGAGTTGGGGGGGCATTGCTTGTGATCATACTGCTCTTGATACTAGCCATTCATTTTGTTTTCTCTATGAATATGAAACATTCTATGAAGGATGGAAAACAAGGGGAAGATAGTCATATTTTACTGCATAGTAGTAGAAGAAATTATTAGTAAGAAAGAATAGGCTGGGCACAGTGGCTCACGCCTGTAATCCCAGCAGTTTGGGAGGCTGAAGCGGGTGGATCATGAGGTCAAGAGATCAAGACCACCCTGACCAACATGGTAGAACCCTGTCTCTACTAAAAATACAAAAATTAGCTGGGTGTGGTGGTGCATGCCTGTAGCCCCAGCTACTTGGGAGGCTGATGCAAGAGAATCGCTTGAACCCAGGAGGCGGAGGTTGCAGTGAGCTGAGATCATGCCATTGCTCTCCAGCCTGGTGACATAGTGAGACTCCATCTCAACAAAAAAAAAGAAAGAAAGAAATAATAGTAGATGGAAAAACAAAGGCAAGATAGGTCACACCATGCTTTACCAAATAGTAGTAGAAGAAATTTTTAGTAAGAAATAATAGTAGAAAACTATAATCATTCTCAAAAAGTGAAAATTTTAGTTTCTATTAATATTTCAAGTTGATGGCTTATTTTTCTATTAAGATGATGTATTAGTGTCTTGTCACACTCCTATAAAGGACTACCCAAGATTGGGTAATTTAAAAGGAAAGAGGTTTAATTGACTCTCAGTTCAGCATGGCTGGGGAGGCCTCAGGAAACTTAGAATCATGGCAGAAGGGAAAGCAAAAAGGGGAAGCAAACATGTCCTTCTTCACATGGCAGCAGGAAGGAGAAATGCTGAGCAAAAGGGGAAAAGCCCTTTACAAAACCATCAGATCTCAGGAAAACTCACTCAGTATTATTATTATTGAAGACAGAGTCTTGTTCTGTTGCCCAGGCTGGAGTGTGGTGTTGCAATCTCAGCTCACTGCAGCCTCTGCCTCCCAGATTCTAGTGATTTTCTTGTCTCAGCCCCTCAAGTAGCTGGGAGCAAAGGTGCACACCACCATGCTCAGCCAATTTTTGTGTTTTTATTAGAGACGAGGTTTTTCTCCATTTTGGCCAGGCTGGTCTTTAACTCCTGACCTCAGACAGTCCACCTGCCTCGGCCTCCCAAAGTGCCAAGATTATAGGCATGAGCCACTGCACCCAGCCATGCCTGAATTTTTAGTTCACTCCTTCAGCTCTAGAGGCTTTTCAGACTTCCAGAAGGATCCTTTGTTAAAATACAGATATATTTTCGGTGTGGTTACCCCTTAAGGCATTATCAAATACTCCTTAGTCTAAAATCATTTATTGTACTAATAACTGTTAAATACAAGGCGTGGTGTTTATGTGCCTTGATTGGAAGTGAGACAGATAAAGGTATAAGAGATAGGGCCCTTTTATTCACCTATAGGGCAACAAGACATAGACATTAAAATATAGTCATCCCTTGGTATATTTGGGGGATTGGTTCCAGGACCCACTACAGATACCAAAATCCATGGATGCTCAAGCCCCACAGATAAAATGTTGTATTTACATGTAACTTATGCACATTTTCCCATATACGTTAAATCATCTGTAGATTATTTATAATAACTAATACAATGTGAATGCTGTGTAAACAGGTGTTATACTATAGTGTTTCAGGAATAATGACAAGAAAAATACCTGCACATATTCATTACAGACACAACCATCCATTTTTTTTTCCCAAATATTTTCGATCCATAGTTGGGTGAATTCTGCTAAATGGGAAAATAATGATACAAGTAATAAATACTAAAGGAATCTTTTTAAATGTGGATTATGGTGTTAAGGGAATGCTTTCTTGAAAGAAGTGATTAGAACTGGTCTTTGACAGTTGAAGGAACAGATATTTGTTGGGGGGGAGTCATTTCACTTCATAGAGTGGGCTTAGAGGGCTAGAAAAAGACAGAAGAAATGATGGGAATGTGTGGCTTATATGAAGAGTAGTATCAGGTTGATGCAAAAGTGATTGCGGTTTTTGTCATTAAAAATATGGCACCAACCTAATACAGTACACCTGTCTTTGCAGTTGTTTTTGTTTTTAAGCAGCAGAGCTCTTCAAACAAAATCTTTACGGATGCATAAAACAAAAACAGAATAAAAAGTAGAACTGCTTTAGTTTAATGCAGGGGACCGTGAGTCCTGCCTCAGCTCCTTTTCATTTCTCTACTCTCTAGTCCCACCTTTATAGCCCTTGAGATACTGTCCCAGTATCCCTAGGATTCCACAGAGCAGTTTGAAATGGAGAAAACCAGGTAGAATGCATAGTAGCAAATGTAAAGTCATGGAAGTTTCATTATCAGTGGTACTTAAGCATAGGAACTATCTTATTCATCTGTGATTCCACAGCTGTGGCACATTGTAGCCAATCTGATATTTGTCAAATTGCTATTGATTAATCATGATTAAAGCTGTATATTAGCAAGAATTATACTGCTTAGCATATTAGTTGCCCTTTTGAGGGGTTATAACTAAATGCAAGGCTTTTTTACAATGAGGTTCAGGATAAATGCCAGGAAAAGATTAAATAAAGGACACATTGGACAATTGAAATCACACCAAAGTAAAGTCTCCCCTTTATTTAGCTTGTGCCTATCCCTTTCTAATAGGATATACCACCATTGTTTACCATAGGTTTGAATATATGGTAAGGTTATGACTTGTCACCAGAGATTTTTCTTATTAACGCTCTTGGTCCCATTGTATGCTGAAATGTTCAAAATGTTTTGGTGAAACACAACTTTGCAAATAATTTGTCAGGCTTTCAAGATCATATTGGTCATGGATCAGATGACATTAGTATCATCTCAGTCTTGTTTGTTGAGATTTGGTCTATAACTTGACATTTGTTGGTTTTCACAGATAATTGAAAGTTAGCTTCTGTGTTTAATAGAGATTATGTACTTTTAAAATAATTGTCTCTTGAATCATTAAAGCTATTTTACTTTTTAAAATTTTCTTTTCAGTCTGATCTTGTGGATCAAAGTATATTTAATTTTATCCCAGAAGGGGAACATTCAGAGGTTTATAAAATACTCTCTACTCATCTGCTGGAAAGTGATTCATTAACCCCAGAGTATTTAAAATGTAAGTAGTAGCTGTTAAGCAGAAAAGTCAAATGTTATATTCAGTAGCATTATCCTTTTGCAAGTTTATGAAAAATACAGACTTCTTTAAATAACAGCATTACTCCATATGCCCTATTAGGTCCTTTTTAAATATTAAAATATATATAAAATGAAATTGTGACCGTATTAAAAATCCGAAATCTATTTCAGAGTATATTGAAATCCCATTTTATTTGTTATAATAAATCCTGGACTGCCGTTATGCCATAAAGCTGTATTTTATGCAAAAGTGAGACCTGGCAATATATTGTTATTAATTTATAAATGAAACCTTAGTGTATTTAATGAGAGAAAATTAAACATTCTAATTTTCACCATTGTTAACCAATTGGACACTCAAACTGGAAAAAATTTTTATGTTTCTTTTAAAATTATTAAATATAAAGATAAATTATCTACTTTATTAGTCATTTGTTAGATATATCTAATTTGCTGAACACTTGTGCTATATCATAAAAATGCCAAAAATAGTGAAAATAGTCCTTAACATCAAGAAACACAACATATTATGGTAGAATTAGACATTCTACTAGGTCCATTGCCAAACTGATTTGACCAGAGTACCTTATTTTCTTCATATATTACCCTGTATAAAATCCAAAATTGTGGCAGCAGTATATTTGGCCATTAGCTATTAGGTATCTTCTTTAGACACTTTTTTTATTATTTTTAAATGTGTCACATCTGCTAATACTGACATGTTAAAGATTTTTTGTATTTGATTCAAATTCTATAGCACACTGTCTGAAACTTGAGGCGTGCGCGCGCGCACACACACACACACGTTTGTATGTATGTATAACTTTGACAAGAGTGGATGGCCTTTCAGAGAGAGTTGAGAAAAATTAGAGAATTCATTGGAAGCCTTGTTTTAAAACCAAGTTTATATGACATTGACCATTAGGCCACTCTAGGCTGGTACTTAGAAAGATTTAGGCTGGGTATAATAGACACCAACACCCACGAAGTCGTGGGTGGAATGGTATTGCTTGAAGTAAATATGTAAAATGAGGAGAGAAGAATTAGAAAGGGGGAGCCCAGTGGGGCACTGTGGCTCATGCCTGTAATCCCAGCATTTTGGGAGGCTAAGGCAGGCGGATCACTTGAGGCTAGGAGTTCGAGACCATCCTGGCCAACATGGCGAATCCCCATCTCTACCAAAAATTAGCCGGGCGTGGTGGTGCATGCCTGTAGTCCCAGCTACTCAGGAGGCTGAGGTAGGATAATTGCTTGAACTCAGGAGGCCAAAGTTGCAGTGAGCCAGGATCATACCACTGTACTCCAGCCTAGGCATAGAGTGAGACTCTATCTCAAAAAAGAAAAAAAAAAAAAGAAAGAAAAATGGAACCCTTTGGAGATAGCAATAAGAAGACAAAGGAGAAGGCGTTTGCTTTGGAGACCCTACTAAGAATAGGATTGACTGGAGAACTAAATAAAAGCCTTTGGCAGGAAGAGCTAGGCTTCTGCTTCCAAGAACAGAAATGAAAATGGCAAGAATACTTAAGAAAAGTCTTAATTAAATGGCTTGCTGATCTCCCTAAACAAGTGATATACAAAAGAGTTCTTGCCCCAGAAAAAAAGAAAGTTTTATGCCAAAAGAATAAACACAAGTTAAAACACAGGAAAAATTACTTAGAAAATTCGGTAGGTCCTTTTGGCCATAATGAAGGTGAGGTCGTACAAGTAGTATAATTTGTGTCTAGACAAGGAATAAGGACAGAATTATGAAAGACCTAATAGTTCATCCTAAGGAATTTGATTTTTATTTTTTACAGAGTAGAGAGCCAGTGAAGGAGATTTGGGTAAAAAAAGAAAAAAAAAAATCAGGTAAATAATGGAAAGTCTTTTTGGAGAAGGCTAGGAAGAAAACTTGTAAAAAAAATAATAATAATAATCAAGTAAATAGTGGAAAGTCCCTTTGAAAAAGGCTAGGAAGAAGACTTGCAGTGGTGGGCTACCTACCCCAGGCTTACCTGGCTTCTGCTTCATAAAGAGGCCCAGAGTCTGAGAGTTGAATGAGAGCCCTGGATTTCTGTGTCATAGTGGCTCAACTCAGGCTGTGCTCACCTGACCTGCAGACTTCCTACTATACAAATCAAGTGATAGCTTTATGGAGTTACTCCTCAGTTTCATTCCTAGGGTTCAGTTAAGCACAACCACAGATCTTATGGATCAGACCATTCTGATGACCAAGCTGGCCCTGCTGCCTGGTACAGTAACTATGATTACTTTTTCTGTGACAGCTCTTCTGACTCATTGAGGTCCAGGTCTTCATTGCAATGGAAGCATCTTTCACCAGCATCTCTGGCTTAGAGAGATTGCCAGTACCTTGCTTACAAAAGTTGCTACCACTTTCATCATCTGGTTTGGGAGATTAAAAAAAAATCACTCAGGTAGAAAATTTTGGAAAGAACCAGACTGGAGACAAAAAGAAAAACCATTTAATCCTAGCGATAAAATTAAGGATGGGCTGCGCACAGTGGCTCACACTTGTAATCCCAGCACTTTGGGAGGCCAAGGCGGGTGTATCACTTGAGCCCAGGAGTTCAAGACTAGCATGGGCAACGTGGTGAAACAACATCTCCACAATAAAAAGAAATACAAAAATTAGCTGAGTGTGGTGACACATGCCTGTAGTCCCCACTATTTTGGGGGCTGAACTGGAGGATCACTTGTGCCCAGGAGGTAGAGGTTGCAGTGAGCCGAGATCATGCCACTGCACTCTAGCCTGGGTGACAGGGTGAGACTTTGTCTCAAAAAAAAAAAAAAAGGCCAGGTGTGGCAGCTCAAGCCTGTAATCCCAGCACTTTAGGAGGCCAAGGTGGGCAGATCACCTGAGGTCGGGAGTTTAAGACCAGCCTGATCAACATGGAGAAACCCTGTCTCTACTAAAAATACAAAATTGTCTGGATGTGGTGACGCATTCCTGTAATGCCAGCTACTCAGGAGGCAGGAGAATGCATGAACCCAGGAGGCGGAGGTTGCCGTGAGCCAAGATCACGCCATTGCCCTCCAGCCTGGGCAACAAGAGTGGAACTCCAGCTCAAAAAAAATGGAAATAGGAAAGGATGGAGAGGAAAGTGTATGACTGTTAAGTGTGTAAACTCAATAGGACTTGATGTGTTAGTCTCAGGTGACGAAGCGGCTAAGAATCATCAGTGGGGAAGGGTTGTTTGAAGAAGATAGATTTTGAACCTATTAGGTTAGATGATAAAGCCATTTATGTTGATAATGACTGAAGAATATAAGCCTGAAGTAGTGAACAAAGAGGTGTTAACTTGTCCTTGAGTGCTGAAATAGTATGAAAGTAGTTATCAGTCTAAGAGTAATAGGCAGAATAAATCAGAGTGACAGAATGTGGAGGCATAATGAATACATGTTTCAGTTTACCTAAATGCACGGTAATGTGCAACAACACTAAATTGGCAGGCTTCCTTGGTGAAATAAGTAGCAGGTCTTGGTGACAGATTAGGTTTGGGACTTGTGATAGGAAGAGAAGAGACCAAATTGATACGGTTTCTAACGGGAAATAAGCATACATAGACGAAGGGGATTTGAAAGAAATTCACTTTTAAATATTTTGAATTTAAGTTACTGATAGTACACTCAACTGCAAATATCCTGAAAGCAAATGATAGGAAAGTTTGCTTACATAAAATGGAGAGAGATATACAGGATCAGAAGAACCTTTGTGAAAACCCCTAGTATGGAAATGTATTAGCAGAAGAGATAGGAATAGCCAATAAGGTAGGAAGGTAAGTTTATGCTATGGGAATGACAAAGCATGACTTTTAAGAGGAGGAGGAAATGAAAAACCATTGAAGTTAACAATACAAATGTTAGTAATCTTGAGAAGAATAATTGCTGTAGAGGTTTAAGAATGAAAGCCACAGTGTGTGAAGTTAAGGGAAATGAATATAGGGAAGATGGAGCCCATAATGAAAAGGAAGGAGTCCTGTAATACCAAAGTACTTAGCAAAACTCCTTTGTTTGAGATGGAAGACCTGAGCAAATTTAAAAGTAGATAATAAAGACTCTTGGCCAGGTGTGGTGGCTTTGTTGCCTGTAATCCCACCACTTGGGAAGTTGAGGCAAGAGGATCACTTGAGCTCGGGAGCTTGTGCCCAAGCTGGGCAACATAGTGAGACCCCATTTCTACAAAAAATGAAAAATTAGCCAGGCATGATGGCTCATACCTGTAGTCTTGGCTACTGGGGAGGCTGAGGCAGGGGGCTCAGTTGAGCCCAGAAATTCAGTGCTGCAGTGAGTTGTGATCATGCCACTACACTGCAGCCTGGGTGACAAAGCAAAACCCTGTCTCAAAAAAAATCAGGTGAACTTCCTTTAGTCAACTAATCACAACTGTCCTAGATCAAAAAAAACGTTGTGAAAAAAAAAAAAAAAAAAAAAAAAAAAAAAAGGAAAGAAAGAAAGTAGGACCCAAAGGTGTAGATGCTAAAGGAATAAGGAACAGTGGTGTGTCCCCTGGTCCTAGAGAAAACAGGAAAGACTATTCAAGGTACAGACAGAAGCATTCGCTTTAGAATGGGAAGCAAAACTTGTCTTTGAAAGTGAGTGAAGAATGAAAAGGAAGGATAAATAAAAATAGGGAAACATTAAGTGGTTTGCACCAGGAAATCTATTTTCTTTGTTAAAGACAAAGTGAGGTCATCTCCTGAACATACTTGCGTTTATGAACTAAACGTCATTGATGATTTCTTTTGGAGAAAATAATGGTTGTAAACTTACACAACTTTTGTGATCTTATTTTATGTGATATATCAGTTGCTGTCCTAGATCACAAATATGTGATTTTAAAAATTTCTTTATTTCAGCAAAAAATCAATTAGAGTTCTGTTGTCATATGCTCCGAGGAACAATAGACCCAAAGGAGCCATCTACCTATGAATATGTAAAATTTATAGGAAATTTCAAATCTTTAAACAGTGGTAAGTTAAAATGCTTCTTTTACAGTGTGTTTTAACTTGTTACTTTTCTTGCTTTTAAAGACATAGATGTTTGAATATCAGTAACAACCAGGTTTTACTGGCATAACTGATAATACATATTTCCCTATTGTTTTAGTATCCTCTTCAGCACACAATGGTTTTGAAGGAACTATACAACGCACACATAGGCCATCTTATGAAGATAGAGTTTGTTTTGTAGCTACTGTCAGGTTAGCTACACCACAGTTCATTAAGGTATGTTTCTAACTTTATTCCCCAAAGGAGATTTAAGTTCATATGCTGAGAACTGCCTGAAACTTTCTGCAGACATTGAGGTGGAATGGCTATGAGTCATTAAATATGCATGATAGTAACATTTTTGAAACAAGCTATCAAGACACTCACTAAATTGTAAAACTAATTTTTTAGTATATATCCTTTGCAGTTAACCAGTGATTATTATATATCAGTATTGCCCTACTTTTGTGGAAGATTTTAGGATGCCTTTGTGTATCGTTCATTATCTCTATTAAAGGGGAAAGTCCAAAAATGTAGGTTTTTGGAGTCTTTATTTTTAGAAGGTCATTTTAAAAATTGTATTTGAAATGTCCAAGTGGTTCTAACTTGTCTTTTCAAATGTAAAATTAAGCATTTTATTTTTATTTCCTGGGTCCAACAAACAGATTGGTAAGTAGGGAAGTAGGAAAGTGAAATAGTTCAACCACTAGAAAGTGACTGGAAAGAAGCAGCCAGGCTAAGATTTAAAATTTAGGTGGGGCCAGGCACAGTGACTCATGCTTATAATCCCAGCACTTTGGGAGGGCAAGGCAAGAGGATTGCCTGAGCCCAGGAGTTTGAGACCAGCCTGAGCAATATGGCAAGATGCCATCTTTACAAAAAAATACAAAAAATTAACCAGGCATGGTGTTACACACCTGTGGTCTCCGTTACTCAGGAGGCTGAGGTGGGAGGATCACTTGAGCCCAGGACGAGGCTGCAGTGAATTGTGTTTGCGTCACTGTACTAGTTTGCATCTGCCTAGGTGACAGAGTGAGACTCTGTCTCAAAATAAAATTTTGGGACATCATAGTATAGGACAAAGTGCTGAATTAACAGACGATCTTAAACCAGTCTTGCTCTGTTTGTTTTGGTCTTATTAAATAATAGTTGTTAACATTTGAGTGCTTACTACATGCTGTGTATTTTATATTCATTATCTTATTTAATTCTTATGACAACTCTGTAAGGTAGATGCTGTTAATGATCCCTAATTTTATGTTATGAGGAAACGGAGGCTTAGGGAAGTTAAGTTACTTGCTCAAAATCTCAGCTATTAGTGATTAAACTGGGATTTGATTCTATTAATAATTATTTTTTTCTCAAAGCTCAAGCTCTCCACTATTACAGTGTGCTGCAGGTCATTCAGGGAGACAGAGGCAGGATGTAATACATTGTTTAGTATGACTAGAGTGTAGGATTAATGCGTGGAAGGGGAAGAGATAGTGAGAGGTAAGGCTAGAAAAGTAATCCAAAACCAGAAATGAAATTTGTTTCTTTATTTCGTGTTTATTTCTCCATGCTGAAGAGATTTTAGCACAAGGAACCATTGGAAGTTTTTTTTTTTTTTTTTTTTTTACCAGGGAAGCCATATAATATTTGAATATTGGGAAGGTAATTGTGGTCCTAGAAGAGAAGATGAGTTGAAGGACAGGGAGTCTGGTGAACACTGTTAACAAATCAGTGATGGCAGGGGTCTAAACCAATGCACTCAAGACAGATGAGATGGAATTGATTTTTCAAATACTTGGATGAAATGGAAGGATTTAGTAGTGGCCCCTTAGATGATAAAAGGTAAAAATGAAAAAGTATGTTTTAACTATCAGCTTTCTAGACACTAGCCACTACACATGTATGGAATAATATGGAAAATTGTGTAACTGGGTGTGAGGAGTAAAGCAATCAGTTTATTTAAGACATACTGAGTTTGACATGTATGAAGACATTCAGTTAGTTGGAAATATGGAACTGTAATTCAGGAGAGAGGTCTGGATTTTGAATAAGGGTTTATAGGCATATATGAACGGAAAATGTCTAGTGAGAAGTACCGACCCAAAAGCTTGCATCTAAGGGTTATTACCACATTCTTTAGTACTAGAAAATTAAAATGTGTTAACTTGTTTAGGGGCCTGCATTTTAGCTTACACCTAGAATCCCAGCACTTTGGGAGGCTGTAGTGGGCAAGTTGCTTGAACCCAGGAGTTCAGGAACACCCTGGACAACATGGTGAGACCCCCATCTCTACAAATAAAAACACAAAAATTAGCCAGGCATGGTGGCGCATATCTGTAGTCCCAGCTACTTGGGAAGCTGAGGCAGGAAAATTACTTTAGCCCAGGATGTTGATGCTGCAGTGAGCTGAGATCACACCACTGTACTCCAGCCCGGGTGACAGAGTAAGACCCTGTCTGAAACAAACAAATAAGTATATACGTACATACGTACGTACGTACGTACATACATACATACATACCTACATACATACATAGAAAAACTAACTTGCTTAGGGGAAAGTTAGTCTAGTAATGACATTTATTCATTCATTCATTCAACCTCCACCCCCCAGGTTCAAGTGATTCTCCTGCCTCAGCCTCCCGAGTAGCTGGGATTAAAGACGCCTGCCACCATGCCTGGCTATTTTTTGTATTTTTAGTAGAGATGGGATTTTACCATGTTGGCCAGCCGTGCTGGTCTCAAACTCCTGACCTCAAGTGATTCCCTCACCTTGGCCTCCCAAAGTGCTAGGATTACAGGTGTGAGCCGCTGCACCTGGCTATGACTTTTATTTTTATATGTAGCAATATTTAATATTCTTAAGGATACAAGATAGTATTTATAAATTTTAATTATTTATTTACTTGTAGGAAATGTGCACTGTTGAAGAACCCAATGAAGAGTTTACATCTAGACATAGTTTAGAATGGAAGTTTCTGTTTCTAGATCACAGGTAATTTCCTTTTTTAATTCCATGAAAAGGTAATAGTCACTTTATATAATTCTTCAAATTAATGGATTTCAAGGGCAAACTTTTTTTAAAATTAGGACTTTGAAACCTTTTCCCATTTTTGGAAAAACAAAGCCCCCCCCCCCCAATATGATTCTAGTTGGAATATTTCTTATTATGGAAAAACTTATAATAATGATTGTTTTCTGTGTAATTTAGGGCACCACCCATAATAGGATATTTGCCATTTGAAGTTCTAGGAACATCAGGCTATGATTACTATCATGTGGATGACCTAGAAAATTTGGCAAAATGTCATGAGCACTGTAAGTAGATTTTAATATTTTTTGGTGATAATAACTGTTTTTAAATAATGTAAATAGAAGTCCTGTCCTGAAATGATGTGGTAAGACACAGATTTATAATCATTTTCATATTTTTGAAATGTGCTACAAGATTTTGCTTTATATACCTCAAGTTTAAATTAAACTTGTTCCTATTTTAGTTTTTAGTAAGTAGAATTTCATAATATGGCATCTAATACACCTTGTTCTGAAGCATGTAAGCTCTATATCTGGAGTAAGAGAAGTATATTCCTTTGAAAATTGTAATACATCAAACTTTGGGAATATTGTGTCATAAATTTTGATTTCCAAGCATGTGAATCTTTTCAGGAGCTAGCTGCATCTTTGGAAAATCTGTCTTAGAAAGCTCATAGTAAATGCTTAGTGTTATCTGCTTATTATTATTGTTGTTAGAGCAGGAGCATTGTCATCCTTTGTGTCAGGCACTGTTCTAAACACTTTACATCTAATCTTCATGAGTAAGCTAAGAACACAGTAAAGCTAAGTAATTCACCCATAATTTCATAGCTCATTGGTGGCAGAGAAGCATTGGAGTCTAGGCCTACTCTTTTATCACATGTATTTATT